TTTGGTATATGTGACGCTAGCGAAACAGCCGCGAGCGCATGATGAGTGTGGCATGTAGTCATGTTGTTACGTGACACGCATATCATGATTTCATGTTAGGGTCTGTCGCTTGTGTTCGCCATGCAATCATGTCATACCCTACCAGTTTTGCAACATGCCACGTAAACGAAAACACCACAAAAGCTGCAGGATCATGAAATGTAAATCTTGACATTCATCACATCCATATTACGATTTTCAATTTATGACTAATCAAATATGCTCTTCATACAGTCATGTTATGCCATACCAAGTTTGGTATTGATACCATTATTGAAATGTCCAGGACAGCTAAATGTCGTATGTATCTAGCTAGCTAGATAGCTAGCTAGCTAGATAGATAGATAGATAAATGGATAGATAGATAAATAGATAGATAGATAGATAGACAGATAGATAGATAGATAGATAGATAGATAGATAGATACGCTCAAAGTCGCCGAAGTTCGCTATGAAATGCTTCGCATTTAAAAATCGGCAGATCCCACGTACCGGGAAAATCAATGATATGCGAAGCAGGGATGACAAATATTGATATGTCAGTTTAAAATAGCACAACGTTACCAATACCAAATTAGGTCGTACATGTCATGATTATCATGTTTAGATGTGTTGTTTACTTTCGTCATCTATTCACCTCACGTGATACCAAATTTAGTATATGTAGAGGTAGCGAAATGGCTGCGAGCACGCTATTAGCGTGGTATGTTGTCATGTTCTTACATGACATGCGCGGCAGGATTATCATGTTTGCACCAGTCATATATTTTGTCATTCATTGACGTCACGTAACACTAAACTCGGTATATGTTGAGCTCGCAAAACGGCCGCGAGCGCACCATGAAGAGACCAAAATACTCCAATGTAGCGGTGAAGCACGCGCACGCTGGGCAGAGCTAGGCAACGTTAGCAAAACGCGAGCACTCTACAGTCGGACGCCAGGCGCAACCAGCGTCCGTCGGCGTGGCCCGGTGGCAACTGGTGCGAAGTGTGACATGCTGCATTTCGCGCCGATGCGCTCCTTCTTTTTGTGATGGAGGGACGCTGGACGCGCAGAAACGCGCGTTCGTCAAAGCGACACAGCGTGCCGCGCACCTGCGAGTATATAAATGGCAGGACTGGCGCCTGGCGTGGCAACGCCGGCTCGACGCGATGAAATGAACGCCAGTAATCACGCGCACCATGTCACGTCGAAATGTATATGCGTCTTGACTGTGGCATGTAGTCATGTTCTCACATGACACGAACCTCGTGATTATCATGTTTGCACCAGTCACTTGCATTCGTCATCCATTGGCGTCGCGTAATACCGAGTTCGGTACACGTGAAGGTGGCGAAACGGCCACGAGTGCATCATGAGCGTAGCATGTAGTCATGCTGTTACATGACACGTATGTCGTGATTATCATGTTTGTATGTGTCATTTACCTATGTCGTCCATTCGCATCTAGTAATACCGAGTTCGGTATATGTGAAGCTATCAAAACGCCTGCGAGCGCATCATTAGCTCAGCATGTAGTCATGTTGCTTCATGACAGGCATGTCATGATTTTCATGTTTGGGTCTCTTTCTTGTGTTCTCCATGCAATCATGTCATACCGTACCAGTTTTGCAACATGCCATGTGAACGAAACCACCGCAAGAGCTGCAAGACCATGAAATGTAATTCATGATATTCATGACATTCATATCATGATTTTCCTGTTATGTCTAATCGAATATGTTGTTCGTACAGTCATGTTATGCCATACGAAGTTTGGTATTGATACCATTATCGAAACGGCCAGGAGAGCTACTAGTCGTAGGCGGCTAGGTAGATTTGATAGATACGCGCAAAGTCGCTGAAGTTGGCTAAGAAATGCTAAGAAATAAAGGAGGATTATTTATGCTTCATGTTGAAAATACGAGCGCTACTCTGAAACTATCTTCCCTGGCGGTAGGATGCATGTGATTTGGCTTTGTAGCTTTCCCTTCAGTGGCAAGAAAAGTTGTCGCCGAGTATAGAACGGTAGTCCGGACAGGCCACCATTGGAATCATAACTTGGCTATACCTACAACGCTAGAACGCTATCTAGTGAGGTATAGTCTAGCTGTGCTATTCGAGGAATCAGAGGGTGTTAAATGGTATGTAGTAGGACTCGGCAAATTTAGGAGGACACGTGAGGCTTATACATACAGTGCTGAAGAACAGACACGTTCCATGCTACCATAGATTAGGTGACAGAAAAAAAACTAGGGGTGGGGTTTTTTATACAGAGGCATATCGCCGGCAACATAAAAGTGTGGCAGCTCGGGCTAGTTAGTATGGCGTGATGATAGTTATAGCGCGAGAACAAAACGACGACACAGAGACCTGTCTTTCCTGCTCGTGTACTTCCTGCTCGTGTCTCGCGCTTCAACTATCGGCAACATAGAAGACGACTACAGCATCAGTGAGAGGTCGGCAAGTATTATAAATAGGTTCAACAAAAGGTACAAGATCAAGGTTGATGATGATGAAGATGATGTACACATAGAGTTTCCTTATATACACTAGAGGGGACTTTGGCGCTAGTGTCTATGGGAGCGACAACCCACGGCACTTCAGTGAGCATGGGAATGATGGGTAGTACACACATTTGTCTAATATTCGTACTTCTTGCCTGCTTTTCGCTCCCTGTGTGTTGGTGTGGCTTGGAGCTGTTTTCTTACGAAACAAATATTAGCAAATGTTCAGCGGTTGCGCTTTATCACCTTGTTCTTTTAGACTTACCTTTCCAAATCGGGTCACAAAGATCAAAAAGGTTCAATCTTTCTTTGAAAACAAAACCGAAACACAGCAATAAACGAAGCCGCAAGTACAATTACCTACCCGCAAGTACGAAGACTAGGCAAATATGTGTACTACCCATAATTTCCATTGTCGCTGAACAATTGCAGCGACAGAGTCCCTTCTAACTAATTTTAAGGAACTCTATGGATGTACATGCCCGCAAATCTTTTAGTTGTGTGCTGCAAAAGCATTTAGACTCGAAGTACAAGCGGAGGTTCAGCAATTAATCGCCCGCTCTATGTGGTTTTTCTCTCGTTTCGTCACAATGACAGCTCCGAAAGCTAATAATAATAACGTCGGGGCTTTAACACCCCAAAACTACGATATGATTATGAAGAAAGCCGTAGGGAAGGGCTCCGGAAATTTCGACAACCTGGGGTTCTTTAACATGCACCTAAATCTAAGTACACGGACCTCCAGTATTTTCTACATGGCCGTTCAATGAGTGCCTAAGGCGTGACCTTAAGGCGGGACCGGTACGGTTTGCAGCGCGTGACATGTAGAGTCGGCGCTACGCCCTCTCCTCGTGCACTAACAAGGAGGGCCAGCGAAATCATTATCTTTCTTTTCTTTTTTGTTTTCGCGAAATCTTCTAGACGTATACATGTTTCGTTATTGCTGCAGCCTCTTGAGGTGGTATTTCAGCTGGCTACGTGATGTTCACAACTCTATCGCCTTCAGAATGCACTCGTAAATCTTGTCGCACTCCTCGCGGAGGTTCAGATGTGGTTCAGAAGTGGCTAAAACTCCGCGCAGCCAACGCTATTCACCGCAGCATTGCTTTATGTGTGTGATTTGTGCTAACTTACTGTTCCACAACGTAATGCGCATTGTTAGGCACGTGTTGGAACACAAAAAATTACCAACTGCACAGTGCACAACAAAGCAGAGACACAGAGCTGTCCTAATAAGGACACTGGGGGACTCGGAACGCTGTACGAAAAATCAGGACTGTACCGCAAAATCTGCAACGGTTGGGAACCTTAGCTACAACGCGTATGTGTGGTCACTCCTTGACACTTGCAGGGTGTGCTCTGGCGCACCGTTTGACATTTGACCATGTTGTTCTCACATCGCTCACTTCGCATTCAAGCACGAAAAGAGACAGCATGAGAACGGCTTCACACGTTAGAGCGGGGGAATTCCCTTAAGTTTTCGTTTTGTAGAGTTACGCTAGATATAAACCCTGAAGTGCCGTGCTCATGGCCTGATGGGCATGCATGTTAAATTTGCAGCTGTATATTGCAGCACGAGTGCCCATATAGGCGCTCTCTTCTTTCACCCACAGAGCGTGCATATCAGCGCAAATAGGTCACGTGATGGCACGTTAGAGCGTGAGCCATATTCTGGGGCGATCTCGTTCGCGAATATGCCGAATTCAGGGCTCGAAGGTTTGGGGAAGGCAAGCCACTTCAGTGATTGAATGCGGAAGATTCTACGTGACGTAAGGCAACACTAGTCGCCGAAAGTGACAATCTCATAGTACGGCTCGTAACACGGCCCTGTGATAGAATTAGCTGGCAACAAAAAGGGCAGTAATTGGTAAGGTTGTTGTAATCGATCGATGTATACTGCATGGCTGCACGCTGGACAGACGAAAAGGTTGTTATTCTGAATATTGATATCTTGTTGTTATTTTTATTATTTCGATTACTATTCACTACTGCCTCTATGGCCATTTCATGATCCAAGCACGTCCCATACAAACGGGAACGCTTCCCCTCAAAATTTTCACTGTTCGCAGCAAGAGCCTCGTTGATCCGGTTCATTCACAGTCACTCATGTGGCTCGAAAGAGAAAATGGGTTATCAACGCTATCCACGAAAGAAGTGGAGAAATTATTTTTCCGAAGCACACACAAAAAAAGAAATGAAAACCTTTCGTTCTCACTGTACGCGGTTGACAGAAACACAAATGGCACCGGCAGGCTACAAGCGTATCGAAAATGCCTAATTAAAATACCGCGATAAAAACGTTTTCTGTTGTACTTACATAACGGACGTGCCTCGCCGGCTTATGCGCAGATCGACCAGCGAAGCCTTGGAACGACTAGTCGCTCTTCTATCCTGGTAGCCACGGGCAGGTGACCAAGATCTGCGAGGACGTGAACGGGGTCGGCGACCAGTGACAGCGACATCCAGCACTCGTGATGGCCCTGAAGCGCATCAAGAAGGAGCTAGAAGACATCAGCCGCGACCCGCCGGCCAACTGTTCGGCGGGCCCCATCGACCATGCGGACCTGTTTAACTGGCAGGCTACCATCATGGGGCCGACGGAGAGTCCCTTCGAAGGCGGAGTGTTCAGGCTTAACATCGTCTTCCCGAAGGACTACCCGTTCAAGCCTCCCAAGGTGCGTGCGCCAAGCCGCGGACAAAGAGGCTCTTGTGTCGTGACACAGCCGCAGATGTACTAGCTGGTATGCAAGGCATAAGGGGATTGAGCAAGGGGTCCACGGGAAACTTAGGGGAAGTTATCCGTGTGCGTCTTAATATTAGTATAGTAATTATGGACTGAGTGACTGAGGCGACGAAGTAGACTGCCGTGGCTGGGAAGCGAACTCGCGACCTCCGAATTACGCGGACGTGTTGAGGCATATGAGACGGGACAAGGGGACGGCGCTTATTTTATTAAATCTCACATGGCAAGTGTTACACAATTAACCTTTGCCATATTGCTATATGACGGCAGTTATGTTTCTCAATTGTGTCGGATATTGTTTTTGCTTTATAGGTTTCATTTTTGGCAGGCGACGTCCCAGTTCATGCCAGAAAACGGGGTGCCGAGAAGTTACATTTCTTAAAACATTTTTTTTCTAATTACCAGAGGCTCTAATGCAACAACATGGTACTGTTGGCGGGCTAAATTGGACAGGGGGCCTATAAATAGGTGTAATAATTGTATATTGTACAAGATTTTTTTGAACCTCGGTTAAACTTTGGTGAGACGCTCCTTACACGTATAGACTATCTTACGGATCCGTGACCTGGCACAGTGGCTTCATTTCCGATGAACGCAAAAACGCTTGAGAACTCCAGGCGGTCGAAATTTCCGAAGCCCTCCGTATGGCACCCCCTCAATATCGTATTTAGGTTTTGGCCCGTAAACCCTAATACAACTATCCCAAATACGCTGGAGGGCCGGTGTCCATGACTGTTGGAGTTGGAGTTGCTGTTTTGTATCCGTGACGACTAAGCGAACATCGATGATTACAATATAGACTCACGCTTATGAGAAGGTCTGTACAGATTTAGTGATCATTTTGTGACTTCATTAATTTGACGTCACGGCATACAAATAAGTGAAATCATTCGCGTAAAAGCACTACACGACGGCGCTCATGATTCTAAGAGGTAATTTCCATGCCTGTTCGCTTACAGAGGGAAACGACAAAGGTAAAAATGACATCACGAGCGCTGTCTAACGGCTCAAGTTCCTTAATATATAAACTCGTCGAAGAAAACACAAAAAAGTCGAACTATGTGCGAGTTGGTATGTTATGCAGGCAGAAAAAAAGTTAGGTATGTCGATTTCAGGCGATTGTGTATTGGACACTGAGGACGGCTCCAAACGAGCTACGTAGGAACACACACAGAAGGCTGTCCCGGCATCGCTCGTTTGGCCCCGTCCAGGTTCATTGCGCCACTGCGTGATGTGATGACTCGCCAACAAATACGACGTGCTACATTAGTAGGTTTCATGACCCAACAAAACTTGCTACTGGGTTAGAAATGCAATAACGTTGAAAGTTGGGCGAATTGGTGACAGTTCATGTTTACTTGTGAAGCAGCACAGAGAGACAGACACAAAAGAAGGTGTCCTTTTCGTTCCTTTTGTGCGTTGTCTCCATGCGCTAGCTGCTTCACATGTAAATATAGAGGTGCAATCTTCGTGCAGCTTCTTTAAGTGGAAGGCTTCCGCAATCTCAGGAGCTCTTTTTGCCGTTGTGCGGATGGCAATGATAGCACTTTCGAAGAAAGGTTTGCACCCATGTACGCTTTGTAATTAGCTATTCGACGAGTGATCAGCGCCCGCTTCCTTACGGACTTTCCCGCCTGCCCAATCTAAGCTGTTTCTAAGAGTAACGAATCTACTAATGAAGTCAATAAATGCACGTGGAAAACGCTGCTGAGGGCGGTGGGGGTGGGGGGGGGTGCAGTCAAGGGAAGCAGTTCCTTTGGGAATGCGCTGGCTTACAGTGCAACAAAATCTTGAATATTGAGGAATGTCAACCGACACGCTCTGGTTGAATTCCTCGCTTTCTTTTGATATCCGTATCGTGCATTACGAAAACCTCACAGGGTCTATTGTGCATCCACTTAAGACGACCCTATGCTGAGAGCCATATTGTTTGTTCTTTGAGACCGATGTATATGGTATATACGAGCGTCCGATTATGCGAGCGTCCTTTCACCGCCGCCGCTGCCACCCGTGTGTCCAGGTCGAAAATCGGCACCGGAAACACAACAAAACTCCCATGGGGTCAGTGATGTCACGATATGGTTCCGGGCCACGGCAGCAGTTTTTAGGCAGTCTGGGTATTTGAAAAAGAGCTGATTATACGAGCGTCCTCTCACCGCTACTGCTGCCAGCCGTGTGACGGCAGTTCAGATAGATACATTGATAAAAACACTCAAAGTATATACAGTTGGCAAAGAAATGTTTTGCATTTAAAAGGAGAAAATTTCACGTGAATATACAGATTTCGCTGATCACGTTCGCGCGTGCTGTTATTTCTTACAGGTTTTCGGTCTTAGGGAGCGTTGGTGATAGGTTATCATGCCACTAAGTCTGCATTGCGTTTTTTCCGGTCATTTAAAAAAAACAACATTGCCACATCACGGTCACATTAAAAATAGTATGTAGATAGTAGCACCGGTGATTCAGTTGTGCTTTCGTAAGTCAGACCTTACGTTTGTGGTGTATAATTTAGTGGAGATGTAAAAAACAAGCCCTATTTTGTAGTGCATAGAATTCTGCGGCCCTTGGTTCGCGCTGATCTCAATTATTTGCCGCTTTTCCCGTTCCACACAGGTGAGCTTCGCCACCAAGATTTACCACCCGAACATCAGCACGCATGGTGACATCTGCCTGGACATCCTGAAGTCGCAGTGGTCGCCAGCACTGTCTATCGCCAAGGTGCTGCTTTCCATCTGCGTGCTTATGTGCGACCCCAACCCGGATGACCCGTTGATGCCTCGCGTGGCATCCGTCTACAAGAACAACCGGAGTCTGTACGAGGCGACAGCAAGGGAGTGGACGAGGACGTACGCCATGGAGTAGGGGCGACGCCACTCCGGGGCAGTCTCGCACAGTGACGCTTACGCCGATGCTGATCGTAGATTTGTTCGGTCACTTTGTTCGAATGCGGCGTCTAAGACGATCATGCGGCAAATAGAGTGTGGTTCCATCGACTGTGTGTTGTTACCTCCGTACTTACGACCAAGGAATCTACGCTGACCTGCACTCGACGGCAGGCGCTGCATATGTTTATATTGCCACGCATTAAACGCCCTGGTTCGCCTGTTAAAGAAAAAAAACCAATGTTAGTTTTGGTTTGTCTTACCGTATATAAAACAATGTTTATATGAGCGGTGAGAAACACCGTGGGAAGCTGAAAACTGAATTTTTTACAAATTGATTAAAAATGGGACGTTGACGTCAAAGCACCTGTGTTGAAGCGTACGAGCAATTTCATAGAAGTGTCGGGCGTCTGGGCTGAGCGACTGATGTAGTGTTAGCTATTCGGGAGGATATCATATGCAGGCCGGGATAGTTTCGTAGGACCTCCAGAAAACGTGTTAAGGATTAGGACGTAAAGGTTAACATCAATGTGGTTTATGATGGACGTGCTATCACACTAAATTTCTGGAGAAGTGATTTTCTTTTGCAGGCACACGTTTCTATACTGAATCGGGATACAGTAGGAATTGATCGCATTAAGCTTCTTCAGAGTAGCTTAAACAAACATTTATCAGTATTGTTCTAAGACCATTGCTCTGCGCGCTCATGCACGACTGCTTTCTTTCTGTTGCACCGAGAAGTCGCGTCTTGAGGTGGAGGCTCACACAAGAAACTCCCGTTCTGGTATATAGGACTTGACAAGGCTCCATCAGCTCATGCACGTGAACTACCTCGTCAACTGGAACAACGAGGTGTCACAAAATGCGAACTGCGCAACGAGTGGGGCGTCAAATGCTTCAACCCTTTACAAAAGCTTGATCTTGTCCCATTATTAACTGTGTCGCGTACCCAGTGTGGGGGATTGTGGGGAATACAAAAGCTTCTGAGATAATTCTTTGTCGTCAGCAGCCTTAGCACAAAAAATTGCACGAAGTTCCTTGCAAGTGTGCAGCGGGTACCACGATCCTCCGAAAAATGACAAAAAATGGCATAGTGAATGCCTGTCTACTACACAATGATTTATGGCGTAGTGGGTACCCTGAAAATGTGCTTGCAGTGTGCTTCCCAAAGAGTGTTCAAAAAAGGGCTCTGAAAGGCCTCTCTCCCAGCTTTCGATGTGACAGTGCTGTGCATTCCACGCAGGCCTGGTGGTCTTTTTTTTTCAACTGTGCAAAACATTACGAAGGGGCGCTAAATGTATGTAAAAATGCACACATGCATACGTTGAACAGTCGCATACGTTTTACAAAGCCAGTTTTTTACAGTTGCGTGACAATGTGAACAACATGAATATTAGCAACACCAGAAGCGTTAAGCTGGTAAGAGCAGTTGCTCACTAGAATAGTAACCCCGGACACTGCAACACAAGTCAACCTCTATGAATGGTGCATAAAAACAACTGACGTTATTCGATGTGACGGCTAGATCATAGGAGTACGTATGTAATGTTTATATAACTCGTTAGTCAGCACTGCAACTATTATTGACGTTTCCCGAACATTGGTCTATTGAATAGCATAGTTCTGAGACCTGGCGTGGCTCTGTGATAGAATACTTGATTGCCACTCAGAATGCTGGGGTCCGATTCCTGCTAAGACTCCGACATTTATTATTTGCATTCGTCGGGTCAACGCTGCTGATGCCAGCTTTTTCTTAACGCGTTGAAATTACCCAGGTATACCATCTGTTTCATAGCCGCTCCCCCGTGGTGGGTTACGCCAAGACTTTGAGGAACGACCAATCAACGAACCATGTTTGTTCTCATTGTTCCTGGGGAGATATGAACCGTCTATCACCTGTGGCACATACTCGCATACCCGTGACACATACTAGCCCGCTGGTATGTGCCACACGTCTGGCGGAGAGGATTCGACGACTTGCGAAACGGGTTCAGACATTGGTATTGCTACGCTAACGCGACAACGAGGACAAAGAGAAGAAGAGGACGAAGAGCGCTTGTCTTGCGAGTGGATCAGTGCCGGACGGCAGCCATTCAGCCCCTTTCCATCAGCCTATCTTCAAATAAACATCTGTCATCGTAATAGTTTGGTGAGAGGTGCTGGGTAAGACAACGGCGCTCCATACGAACGATGATGCACCGACTGCAGGGACGCAACTAGTCCGTGGTGATTAAGTAGACGAGTCGCTGGTCAGCCACCAGAGATGGATTACGGCACGGACAACAAGCATCTGGCACCTGTTTCCGGTCTCCCGACACCGGCCGCCTCCGGTCACCCATGGCAACCCTACGTCGAGCCACGAACATTCGCAGGAAAAGATGGTGAGGATGTTGACGCATGGCTGAGCTTCTACCAACGGGCAGGTCGGTTCAACGGTTGGAATGCCACCGGTTAGCTCGCCAATGTCGGCCTCTTCCTTAAAGGAACCACGTCTGTGTGGTATAAAAACCGCGAGAAGAGCTTGACAACGTGGCAGAAGTTCGTCGACGAGATTAAGAAGTGCTTCGGAGGTCCAGCGGCCAGAAAGAAGCGTGCCGAGCAAACGCTGACGCAGCGCGCTCAGGTTCCTGGGGAAACCTGCACAACGTACATTAAAGAAGTGCTGAAGTTGTGCAAGGTCCTGGACCATCAGATGGCCGAAGAGGACAAAGTGGGTCACCTTCTGAAAGGAATAGTAGAGGACGTCTACCAGTACCTCATCGCGAAGCACAGTCTGGAGTCCGTGAGTGACGCCATCCTGCTATCTCCATCCTGCTATCCTATCTATCTATCTAGCCGCCTGCGACTTTTAGCTCTCCTGGACGCTTCGATAATGCTATCGATACCAAACTTGGTATGGCATAGAATGCCTGCATGAAAAACATGTCTGGTTAGTCATAACATGAAAATCATGACACGTATGTCATGAATGTCATGATTTTCATTTCTTCGTCCTGCAGCTTTCGTGGTGCTTTCGTTCACATGGCATGTTGAAAAACTGGTATGGTATGACCTGATTGCATGGCGAACACAAGCGACAAACCTTAACGTGAAAATTATGACATGCGTGTCATGTAACAACAAGACTCCATGCCACCCTCATGATGCGCTCGTGGCTGTTTCGCTAGCTTCACATGCACCATACAAGGTATTACATGACGCGAACGAACGACACAGGTAAATGAGGCATCCAAACATAATAATAACGATATGCGTGTCATGTAACAACATGACTACATGCCACACTCGTGATGCGCTCGCGGCCGTTTCGTTACTTCACATACGCCAAGTTTGGTATACGTGACGCCAATGAATGATGAAGGTATGTGACTGGTGCAAACATGGAAATCGTAAGATGCGGGTCATTTGAGAATATGACTACTTGCCACAGTCAAGGCGCCAAAACATTTAAACGTGACGTGATGCACGTGCTCACCAGCGTTCATTTCGTCACGTTACGCCGGCATTGGCACGCCAGGCGCCGGTCTTGCCATATACTTGCAGGCACACGCTGCGCGGCGTTGCTATGAAGCATGTGCGTTTCAGCGCGTCCGCCGTCACGAAAAAAAAAGGGAGACGCAGTGTTGTCTGGGTAACGCATCGGTGCGAAATGCAGCATGTCGCATTTCGCGCCGGTTGCTATCTGGCTGTGGCGACGGATGCTGGTCGCGCCTGGCGGCATACTAAGGAGTGCTTGCGGTTTGCTAACGTAGCGTCGCGGTGCCCAGCGTGCGCGCGCGTCAACGCAACATTGGAGCATGTTGGGCCCTTCATGATGTGCTCGCGGCCGTTTTGCTAGCTCCACATATACCAAATTTGGTGTTATATGACGTCGATGAATGAAGAAATATACGATTGGGTGCAGACGTGATAATACTGACGTGCGTATCATGAAAGAACATGACGACATACCACACTCATAACGTGATTGCGGCCGTTTCGCGAGCTCCACATATACTAAATTTGGTATCACGTGACGTGAATAGATGACGAAGGTATATGACGCATCAAAACATGGTAATCATGAGAGCGAAGTCATGTACGGCATCATTTACCTCCACCTCGTAACGTTGTGCTAATTTTAACTGACCTATCAACATTTCTCATTCGTGCTTCGCAGATCATTGATTCGCACTGTACGTTGGATCTGCCAATTTTTTCTTTGCATATATCGAATAAATGCTGCCAATAATTGCAGTGCTTTCGTTTATTGAAGGGTTTGAGGTCAAGTGCAGGGACAGCTATAAATGTATTGACGGTGGTATTCTCGTGGGCGGAAACAGCTATGCCCCGGCACCCAGCCGACTACGACTGACTGATACTGTGCGTAGATCGCACATAGAAGTCAGTTGAAAGAAACGAGAATAAGATTCGTGTGTTTTTAAGGGATTTCAAAGCTGTTACCATGCTTAGAGAATCAGTATATATCACAGCATTTGACAGTTTTACTTCTTTTATATGTTTGATGGCCACTAATATCGTGGAAGCTTCTGCAATGAAGATGCTCGCATTGGTGTGCAGAACATTTACACCTGAAAAAGATGAACTAACCGCAGCACACACGCACCCGAAGTTTCTTCCTATTTATTTTATTTTTATTTTCCTGGGTTTTTTTCCCTGACAAGATGATGATTTATCGCTCACACTCAACGACACCTTCACTGACACCAAACGCCTATACCACTATTTCTGCGAAAGAACTCCTTAACGCTTTCGCGTTAACAACCTGTCGCTTTACTGTCAACTTGTTGAGGAATCCTTTGAAGCGCCATTGTGCAAGGGTTCCTCTGTAAGCGGTAAAATGCTCCTGTGAGTATAAATAATAATATAATCAACATTTAAAGGCTTCGTCATTCTCGTTCTGAACTGTTACTATTATTTTCCGCGTATTGTATGTACCGCCTCCTTCTTACGCAACATGACTTGTTCAGGGCCCATCCCTCTCTGTGGGTGATTGGCATCAGAAAAGGGATATCATCATTATAATAATCACTTGTGGACATGTGTCATATTAGAGCATAGAAATAGTCATCCACATCTCACCCTTTGAAACCCATCACCTCTGAAAAGAGGTCTCTGCTTTGGTTGATACAATATAAAGCACCTGTATCGCCGCCCTTGGACGCAAGGGAGATTGAAAGACACTTGTGCTCTATCATATCTCTTTTGCAGCATAACCCTTTGCCTCTAATTTTGATTGCACGCATTTTATGCCACTCTTATGATTTTAATGCCTATATGTTTTACCCACCTTTAGGGTGAGTGTAATTAGGCCCCCATACAACCAGTCACCATACCCATCGCCCACATCTTTTGTCTCATGTAATGGTGCTCTTTTGTCATCAGAGAGTCATTGTACCATTAAACTCCATATACCATCACCATCATTTGAACCACATCATCACCACCAAATTTGGTGCGAGCAGGGCAAGGTGGCAGCAGGCGGCAATCACGGGCTCTGCCGACTAAGCGTGCCTCTCGAGACGTGTCCTAGGAGGTCGCGTGGCCCGTGTCCGCTCGACAGAGCCGTTTGTCAGCGACTTTACGAGCCGGGGCATGGCACATTCCCAGGAAAGGCACCCGTACCACAGGTAATGGGGCTCATATGCCGTTGTATGGATCACGCGCAGTGTTCAACACAGAATTTTGGGCTGCTTGAAATTTACTGTACTTGAATATCTAAATAGGCGTGAAGCAACATTCAAACAAGAAAAAGTCTGGAAGGCAGGACGTCCTGCTGGTGTGTTTTGCCCTTGAGTGAGTTTTGTTTTTAGCGAGTTAGGATGTCTGAGAATGTGTAGGGATTTGCGCATTTCAGTTCGAAAATTTCAGTAGCGGCTAGTATTGTCAGTTTTGTTTATTTTGGGCAACAAACGGTGGTCAATAAAAGGCGTTCTGTGTTGGTCGTTGACTAAGGGATGAAACTAAGGGTGGGGTAGCCCAAAGAATAAAATTTCAGAGTCATTGCAAAGAGAACTGTGATTTACTTCTGTTGGGTGCCGTTTTAGAACACCCAGCAAAAAATTCCAAGTAACCGCTAAAACGGGCAGTAAGTCGGAAAGCAGGTAGAATTGAAGGACTGGGTTGCGCACAAAAATTCTGACACCTCGTTATTTGTCTTGAATGCAAATTTTTTTTTTGCCCAGTTCAGATGATTGTCTCGTGCGTCAACGCGGCCCACTGTTGAGATCTCCGCGCAAGGAGGAGTGTGAGACGACGGTGTTTTATTATCCTCTTCACGAGTTCGCGCTCGTCAGCTATGCAATATCAACGAGATGGACACGAAGTTGCACTCATAGTCAACTATGCGGTATTTTGAAACGGTGAAAGGTATAGCTGAAGAGGTGTTCACGACTTTAACAGGGCCAGAACAAGGTGAACGTTATAAAATACACTGAAATGGGTGCCTGCATACTTACATGGTGCCACGGTTTTTCGCAAAAGTGAAAAACTTTTTTGAAGGGGTTCACACTCCAGCTGGCAATGATGAAGCACGTGTCCAAGAGTGAGGTGTTGACGACATTTGCATGTACGATCTATTCTATTGTAAAGCCCGTGGCATCTCTAGTGACGTAATACCTATTTTAGCCGATGGGCATAGCGCCTCGACGATAGCTGCAACAAACGCAAAAGCGGAAGATAGAGTATGAATGACCTCTATGAAGTATAACAGAAGCGTGCGTGAAAGAACCTTATCTTCCATTCTAGGAAGTTTTTCCTAAAAATTATGTCTCTATATATTATTACTCCATTAACTTTTGAGTGCCGGCATACCATGCACTTCAAGAGGACCATCATGGAGGTCATCATTTTACAGGCCTTTGTTACTCGGGGGCAAAGGAGAGCTCCTAAAGGCAGAGATATTCGTCGCAGTTGTAGTATCGTGCGTCGGCCGCGACGCACGGAGAACACAGGGCACGGTGCCGAAGTGCCGGCCGTCAAGAAGTATGCAGCAGCTGGTAGCCAAGCAGGAACTCATTTAATAGATAGAATGCCGTGCGTGTATACACAGGGTAGTGCCCCTTAAGGGAGAAAATATTTCATGAAACCGAAACTAGCCAACACACCACATCAGCACCCCCCCCCCTTGAATGGAAAGGACATGCGGCTTTAAGATCCTTATACAATCATTATAGTAGGCTATTATCGTTATTTAGAATTATTATCAGAGTTAATAATGGTACAAAAGTAGCATGTATAACCATATACAATTTTAGAGGAGTGGTATGGCACATAGAACTTGTACGCCCTTGAACTACTGTATTAACAACCTTAGACTCCCCCCTCCTTTTGTTGTAAAGTAACCAATTGAAGAGAGAGAAGTGTCATGACAAGGAGAAAAAAAGCGTACCTATGTACGCAGTGCACCATGGCTGAAAGCGCTTGTTCAAACAACATATAACAAAAAACACAACATACCAGTGTACCAAGTGGTCGAATTAACGCTTATACAATAAATAAATGCGCAGCATACACACAACAATGCACACGTATGGTACAGACTCCAACATACGAGTAAGACCAAGAATTTAGGACACGAAGTCCTTAAACCTGGATGGTTTCTTACACGAATGTTTAGAACGCCGAAGCTCCTTGTGCTCTGAAGTACTCTCTTGCGAAGCGGCAAGCTCTGTATGGGAGGATGAGGCTACTGTCTTGCTTACGCACTGCTCAGGTACAGCTGAGAGCATAGAGGAATAACTAGAGTAGTCCAACGACTCGCTTAGGCTTCCCTCAGTTGTAGCTGCGGACGGAGAACCCTGACGCGAAACATGGCAACCTGAAGGTTCGGAAGCATGTCCATTAGTGTTAGGAAGGATACTGGCATAGAGACTGCAGGCTCGTCAGTTAAGTATTGATAAAGAGCATGAGAAGAGTCTGAGGACTCTGAAGCGTGTTAGGTGCACGGTAACACTTCATGGTGGCTGGGCACCACAGATGGGCTAGAAACCGGTGCCTGAATATCATTCTCCCCCAGGGACAGATAGTGATGCTGCAGGAAAAAGGAGAGAAACCAGTCGTGGAACCGACACAGAGTATTGTGACTTGTTCTACAAAGGTATCGAATAGTGCAAGTGAGAAGGTGGTTTCCGTTCGGAATGGACGATTACAAGTTTAGAAGCATTACAAACCGATTCATCACTCAGCCTAAATGCCTGGGATCCCTCCGCAGTCGTAACGGTAAACGGACCTCTGTACTTGTGTTTTTTCCCTGGAACACGTCCTTTTGGCCAACCTGAATGACTGAAGGTCGGGCTCTTCGCTTCTGATCGACATAATTCTTCATGTACTTCTGCCTATGAAACACTCGCGTCTTTATGGTATTGTACGAAAAGGACTGAGAAGTAGAAGGCCGCTTATGAAGCAACATCGCGGGAGACGATCCCGTAATTGCCAGAGAAGAAAAACGGGAAGTACCCAAGTACTCTGTAATTGCCTTTTTTTGAGGACGTTGTTCTAGTTGGGCTAGTTGAATGTACCCTTTAAAACCCTGTTAAACCACTCAACCTGGCAATTGGCTTGAGGATAGTAGCTGGAAGAACATAGGTGTTGAATACCTCGTTTGGAAAGAAAAGTTTCAAACTGATGAGACTTGAACTGGGGAGCGTTTGCTGTTACTAAGCATGCTGTAAAACCTTCACGGCAGAAGACGGAAGTCAAGAAGGTGGTGACTGCATCAGTCGAAACGTCTCGAATGAAACAAACCTCTGGCCGTTTGGAGTAACAGTCAATGAAAGGGACTGCAAAGCGACTATCTGAGAAAAAATTTGAAAGATGACCAATAATGTTCATGCCTAACTTCTTCCACAGTTTTTTAGAAAAAAAAAACTAGTTGTAGGGGTGCAAAGACAGGTTTCGCTGACTTGTCGGCAGCCTGACAGATGTAACGATGCCGAAACCACACTTTCCACTTGTTTGTCAAGACATGGCCACCAAACCTGTCACAAAGCAGCTGCTTTGTACGGATTATGCCTGGATGACTTTCGTGGGCTAACTGTATTATTGCCCCCTTCAAGTTTCTGGAATCGTAACACGTTCCCCGTGAAAAATGAGCCCACTGGCATAAGACACTTCGTAATTCACTGCAATGTAATGTTCAAGTACTGAAGTCACATGCTTCTTCTTAGGCCAATCCTCAGAAATGTATTATTAAGCTGCTGGAAGATACTGTCATTAGCAGTGACTGCCTGTAACTCGTCCTTATTTAGGCATGCAGCAACAAAGAAACTTTCTCTTCTTCCGGCGTCTGTGCTGGCGGAAGCTGGACTAATAGCCGAGATAATGCTTCCACAACGACATTATCGGCACCTTTGTAATATTGTACAGAAAAGTTAAAATATAAAAGCCTGGCGCACCATCGTGAAATTCGCAAGGGGCGTCGCCCCACCGCGCCAGCAGACAGTAAACTAGATAAAGCATAATGGTCACTCCGTAATGTGAAATGCGGACCTCAGAGATACAGATGGCATCTTTCTACCGTCAACAAACAAGCAAGAGCTACGCGCTTCCTTGCTGAATACCGGCGTTCCGCCGGAGACAATGTTTTAGATGCAAAAGCAACAGTAAGCAGCTGATCTCTATGTTTTTGAAGCACTGGTCCGATGCCGACATCGGATGTATCAGTGGTAACCACCAGCGGAAGATTGTTATCAAAAATATTTATGACCGCACTGTCAACAAGTAGTTCTTTAACTTGGTTGAAACTGGCATTGACCCTCAACTGGTCGCGGCGTGTCTGCGTGCCCACTTCAAAGCTCTGCGTCAGGGACCAGACAAGTCGGCGGCGGGATTTATTCACGAGGTACGCCGAATAGCCAAGTTTCGTGAATGCGGCACGGCGGGCGATATCCTCGCTTTCGACTAGATCGTCTATGGCATCAAGTCGCGGCACCTCCAAAGATTTTAAAGATTTTCTTTAAGATGGGGAAGGACTTCTCTCTACAGAAGGCGCTTGACGCAGCGAGGGAGGAGGAGCGCGTTGACGGCGCGTTGCTACAGGTATTTGGAGCACAAGTCGACGTCATGTCGTCGCACCCGGTTCAAGATGGTGGCTCAGCTCGCCAAATTATTCAAGATGCCAGGCCATAAAGAATACAGGACACGGAGAACAAAGGGGGAAGGGGGGAACGGAGAACACAGGGCACGGCGCCGAAGCGCCGGCCGTCAAGAGGTATGCTACAGCTGGTAGCCAAACAGGAACTCCATTATTAGATACAATGCCGCGCATATATACACAGGGTAGCGCCCCCTAAGAGCGAAAATACTTTGCATGAAACCGAAACTACCTTAGAATGAAACCGAAACTAAATAACACATCACCGCCGCAGTTAGTCTCGACTTGAAGGCCCACAATGTGCCACTGCGAGATAATGATGCGAGATAACACCATTGACATTAGTGTCCACATCATAAGGTTACACTGGGCTGCGGTACCACCGACGTCGTGGTTGTAGCATAGTTTTACTTGTCGAGTCAGTCACTGCAGAGAGGAGGGAGTGGTCCTGCTATCACCGCTGCCATTGATGCGAGCATTCTTATAGTGGAATTTGCTGTAGCTTTTGCAAACAGGCAACATAAAACAGTTTGATACCGCAAGGATCCCACTATAGGGGATATATCTTCGCTATTGGGAAACATTATTAAGTGTGCATACACTTTATAAGCGACTTCAAACCATCCACCGCCGTCGGCGGCGTCCGCAGTCTTCTCTCTATCTTTAAAAGAAAGAGGACTTGGCGGGCCGCAGCGTGACGCTCTACCGAATAAGCCACGGACGTGACGCTGATATGGGTGTCAGTAACGCGCCTTATAGCCCCTCGCCCTTCGCTCGCTCCTCCGCTCTCCTCGCTCGCTGCAGCTGCGCGCGCACCCCTCTCTCTCGCGCGCCCGCCTTCTCTCTCAGTCTCCCGTCGAGAGCGGGTCGTGAGGAGGAGTAAAGTTAAAATCCGTTGGCATTCGCCAGTGAGTTAACGTAAACTCCCCCGTGTGATCAAATTGCGATTCCCAGAAACCATTACACCATAAAGGCACCGTAGTGTGATTAATAAATATAATAGTGCGAAGTAATAAATACCCCTCATAGAATCACCCCGTGTATTCGCACTTAACCATGTTCACCCTCGGAAAAATGCTTGGGAGTTTTTTAAACTGGACCATCTCCGCAAGTAGCACTATTTGGTGACAGAGACTTCAGCAACATCCCAAGCAAAGTCGAAGTGACTCGTGAATGTGTATGCAATTCAGTGCCATAGGTGGTATCTCAAGTGCCAAGACAGCAAGTGTACGATGAAGAAGAAAAAAACAACTAAATGTAAGTGCCATGAAACGAAAGATTTATGCAGTCGCACTCAGCGTGAAAGGTGTAGGCAATGCGCAGCAGTGATTTACCAGCCATTCGGCGACGCTTTCGGTTGCGGGCAAGAGCTCGTTGGCATTGCGAACGTGCAAACTGCTTGGTGTCCTTGCTGAAGTGTCCTCTCCTGTATTCATTTATCGTCTCACACCCTCACTTTCCTCCTTCTCGCTCACACAGCATTTTCAGACCCCATTGCAACAATGTACTATGCAAGGTTTTGCTATGCCTTACACTTTCCGTCCTAACCGTCACTTTTCTTTCCTACCCTTTGCTGCACTATCTATTACACATGACTATTCTATACTACAATAGCTATGCTATGATTTGACCTTTGTCTCATTTCCCCCTCACATCACTTCTTTTTGCCCTGACTTCCCTTTCCCACACCCTTACTAACTATGTTATACAAGGCTGTTCTATGCCTGGTTTCACTTGCGTGGCGCCGTAATTGGCAAGCTATGTGCTTACACCGTGTACCCCGTTCTTTTTCGGCTTTCCCTCTCAATTCTAACTTCTGCTTCCTTGCGACACTATAACATACACGGCTAATCTGTACGCGGTTTCACGTGTGTGACGTTAAGCGACGGCATGAGACGACTTAAGGCACAGCCCAGGCCCCTAATGTGCTCCGTACTTAACTACGAGAAACGTTCCTCTCTGAAGACTTGTGACTTTTAAAATGCTACTAAATGCTGGCGAACCGCTAAACCCATATCTGTAAACCTGGGAACAGAGCGAATATTTCAACGACGGGTTTAAATTTGAAGAGCTGCGTATCGCGTTTACGAATATGGAACTCGACAGCGTTTGTGTCTCGGTACCGAATAACGGAAGCTGCCTACAAACGTTAGCATATCTTCTCATTGCACGTGTGGCCTAGTCAACGACGAGACGTGACCATCGACGGCGTCGGTGTGAGCACTAGTGTTACGAAAGGTCACGCCCTTCCAGATGACGCACTGTTTCTTTGAATTTGACATCGTAATTTCAAATATAGGCAATTGGGCGTCATTGTGACACTTCATGAAATGTCAGCGCACAATTTTGTCACCTAGAAAAAAGCTGACCAATTTTGGAGTAACTGCCGCATCACGTCATGTGCACGAAGCTGTAGAGGGGGTAGGGAGGGTTCAATACCGTTGACTCAGAAGACGTAGAACAAAGTGGCTTCGAGCCATGTTAGGCATATACATCTCAAACCTTGAGACATCCCTTTCTGTTTCCAATGTTTGGGCCACGTTTAGTGTATCTTATTCCAAAAAAATTAGGACGCAGGGCACCAAGGATTTGGACAGTGGAATTGCATAGGACAGCGCTTACACTGATAAGCAATTCTTTATTAGCTTGAAAAACAAAAACAAAAGCATATACACAATACATGGTTTTACGCACACGCGTAGCAGAGCAAGGCGCACAATAAAAGTGGGGCCATGATTAGTTATCGGAAGAATTTTCTCCACGATATGTCTTTTATAAGTTATCAAAAGCGCTACGCGTCTAGAAACGCGCACTCTCCTCTTACGGATGTGGTACGATTTTGCTATATCGCCAGTCATTTGATCAGTATGCCGAAAGTGCAGTCCTTTGCACCTCTATATCATTCGCGTGATCAGTTTGCTTCATCCTAATTCTTGAATAATGAACGTAGACCGATAATTGCAACTAACCATCTTGTTTATTACTTCATTGCTGTTGTCTTGTACTGAGTAACTCGTGACGGGTCAGCCTTTAGAGAGCTGTCTCTGACTTGTTCTGCACATTTGACATCTTTAAACCATGTGTTTTTTTTCTTTTGACAGCATGGCCGAGGGAGCTTCCGATGACGATCGCATGAAGGCAACGCAGAGGGCGAGCATCAAACGCATCATGAGGGAACTCGAAGACGTTCAAGCCGATCCGCACAAACAGTGCACGGCGGGCCTGATCGACCCCACAAACCCGTACCACTGGAATGCCGTCATTTTGGGACCCGAGGGCAGTCCATACGAGGGTGGACTGTTTCATCTGCGCATCCAGCTTCCGAGACACTATCCTCTCGGAGCTCCAAAGGTACGTGCTAAAACGCGTGAAGCTTATATCTAATCACCGGAATATATTTTCGCAATCACCCCAGATTCTCGGACTTCATGTCGCGAAGGCTGATGAATCCGCCGATTCACCTTGCACAGTTTTAAACTTAACGTTAGATGCAAGGTGGTCCCGTTGAGCTCAGCTTCTCGAGCTAGAAGGGGGCACTACCGTCTCGGTAGCCGAGTTAGTCGTGCTCTACATGGGCTCCATACGTTTTCACGCGCATCCCCGGAAATTCTCATCTTAGTGAATTCGCATCGATACCAGCTGATTCCTGACGTTTCCACTAATCTGCGGAAACCTACTTCGACGTGAATCGACCTATTTCAAGTCTTTTTTGGCGTGTTTTCCATGCCTCCACGCCCCCGGCTAGTGAAGCTTAACGCGCCGTGTCGCGCTCGTTATCTCTCGCCGCCTGCTGCGCTGAGCATCGAGCGCGCTTGCGTGCGGCCGGTGTGCCATTAAGGTGATAATCGCGGGCACGGAAATTACACCCGAATAAATTTGAAGCCAGCGAACGGCTTACGCAAGTGAACAAGAGCCGCGAAGCCCGTACATCAACAGGGACCGCCATCCTCCTGGCTTCTGACACCCAGGACGGACGATCTTCGACCCACAAAACCTGAAATGCCACGAATGATGACGCCACAGCGATCGAGCGTTCGCTCACACCACGCCAACGTGGGCGGCGATTAGCCCTCAACTCGGTGTCTTCTAAGCAGCCTCGGCTGCCCAGCGATGCCCTCAAGCTCATCGCCCGCCCCAGGGGAGGACTCCTACTCTCTGAGATTACCAACTTTCAATTGTTCGAAGTGGTCTGCGCTGCAGCAAACTTCCCCAAGGCCTCAATTCGCGGTGAAGAAATCATTCAATAAACCCCAAACAGAACACATTCGCCTATTCTACCCCAGCCATCGAATGAGCCGAACGGTTTCTGCGACGCAAAGAATTGCTGAGTGACACCCGCCAATACGAAATTTCGGTGTACTGTGCACCCGATGAAAGTCAAAGACGTGGTGTGATCCGATGGGTTGACCGCTGCCTAGACCGCCAAGGTATCCAAGAAGAATTAAAAAATCCTCGTACACCCCCCCCCCACCATCGCTGACTTTCGCCGTCTGGGAAACAACATCACCGTGCTGTTGAACTCCAAGAAACCTCAGGTTCCTACGTGGATATACCTCTGCAGTGCCCGTTACCATTTCAACCTGTGCAAGAAGAAGTTCGAAGTGTGTTACCGGGGCAGTGAACTAGGCCACAGAGCTGATGTGTGTGCCAGTACAGTGGTCAAGTGTCGGGGCTGCGCCATCGCCATCCCAACCAGTGATCACGAATGCGTTCCAACGTGCCGCCTTTGCGGAAAACAGCATATTACCGGAAACACCCGCTGTAAGGAAACCTACAGGACCCCGTATATCATAAAGCGGCGCCAATGGGAGGCCCTCCGGCAGGAGGAAGACTCCAAGCAACAAGATCAAGTGACTCAACGGCGGGTCACCCTTAAACGCTCCAGTCGCTGGGTCTGGTAGTACTCAGCGCAATCATAGGGACCGCTCTTCCTCGTTCCCACCCCTTAAGCCGACTCTTCCCACAATTCACCGCGGCCATCGTTCAGCTCGAGGGTGCGTACCCCTGCTACTACTTTGCCAGGTCTACCGGCAGGGAAGCTACGTGGACTTGCAGCTTCCGGAACTTTTGCAGCGGTGCCGGTGAGTATGCAGGGAGGGACTTCAAACTTCACACTTGGGAAAGTCATTACTCACCTCACTGCTGTAGTCACACAGCTTATGCACAGAGTTACAACAGTAGAACAGCGCATAGTATACGGTGCTTTTTCACATCCACCTACCATGACAGAAACACCCACATCCATCCCCATGGACACTGACTTATCGGCAATCACAGCCACAAAACGAAAGGCCTACGAGGTGGGTGGCACACAACCGGGTGACACGCAGGCCTAAATTGAGCGCCTTACGTCAGCTCTGACTATGAGTGAAACACGCACAGACCAACGTTTAGCGGCTCTGGAAAGCACCATGAAGAAATAATTTCAAACATTGACAGCGCAGTTCACCCAGCAACTCGACTCGTTGAGTAAAGGATTAGACGGTTGGTGCAAATATTACGACTCTGCCCTAAACCCAGCTTCTTCCTCGGTCCCAGGCAGCACAAACTATTATCCTAACCATGGCGGGCCGGTCCCGTAACACCACCATCTGGCAGCGGAACTGCCGGGGCTTCGCACGTAAGCGTCGAGTGCTTCAGCAGTTTCTTGCCTCCCGCAATCGTCCAGAAATCATAGCGCTTCAAGAGGGTGGCAAGCACGCTCAATTAGCCGGATACAAGACATACACGTCGGGGCGCACTAACTCTCAAGTGGCAACTCTAGTGAAGCGCAACATGAATGCCATCCCCCATAATATTGGGTCTAATTTCTCTGATCACGTACTTTTCGAAAGGCTGCCCCACCCTTCTCGTAAACCTGGTCACTGTCTTCTTGCGCTTAACGTCTACAGCCCACCCCGAGACCATCGGGTCGAATTCAGCCCCTTATTTCTCCGCGTTCAACAACTAGCCCAGCACCAGCCGCATATTATAAATGGGGGACTTCAACGCTTCCCACTCATCATGGGGCTACCACTACGACTCCCCCAAAGGCCCCCTCTATATGACGAGTGACACTTACTACACCTGAATATTCTTACTGACCCAGCACATCCTACACGTAGAGCTGGAGGAGTGGCGCGTGACACCACACTGGATTTCACCTTCGTGGGGCATGGAGTAAATGCCACCTGGTGCAATACACAAGAAACTTACGGCAGTGACCATTATGTTCTGGAAATAGTCATTCAGGAGCCCACACGTGAACGTTTTCGTTCAGCCAGACTGATTGACTGTGATCGATTTCGCACTAAGCGCCAAGAATCTGGAAACTCGCAGCTTACGTATTACTGATATTTCCACATGGTCCGCTACTCTCCTCCAGCACGTCGCGGACGCCACAACGGATGTCGAAATAGGGGAGTCGGTGCCTAGCTGTGACAGATACTACGTCAAACTTTGGGCGTGGAAACGCAAACTTGAGACCCTTCTGTAGGCCCCAAAATGGAATAAAGGCGTCCGCTTCCGGATGGCTCGAGTGCACACAAACATTCAATACTATGCCATAGAACTCACCCATCATAACTGGAATGACATCTGTCCCCAGATGGATAAGGCGCCGAACTCTAAGAACGTACGGCAACTTCTGCGTCACTTGCTGGATCATGACAGTGGCAAACGGCAAGCTAAATATCAACTTGAACGTATATTGCATGAATTTTCTGGCTGATCCGCTTCCCTTCGTCAAGAGCTCATTGACACCTATATTCGTTCTGGACCCGTTATTCCTCTTCCTGCATATGAAGGGGATGATAAAATGCTACTTGATGCCCCCATCAATATAGCAGAGGTGTGGGCAGAACTAAACCGTCTCGAGACAAATTCTCAGCTGGTCCAGATCGAGTCACCAATTGCATGCTCCGAAACCTAGACTATTCTTCTATCCTAGCCCTCACGGGCTATATGCAGCAATGTTGGGAGCAAGGCACCGTGCCCCTGAGCTGGAAACTTGCCAACCTCATCCTTATTCGCAAGTTTGCTAGCGGGGAAAAGCCCCACGCTAGCAAACTTGCGTCAAATCTCCCTCACATCCTGTGTAGGCGAATTGGTTGAGCATGTTGTCCAGACCCGTCTTATTCGCTACTTGGAGGATCATAATCTACTTCCCGACACCATGTTCCGCTTCTGCCCACACCTGGTGGCACCGGATATCATGCTCCTACTCAAACATCAGGTGCTCTACAACCGCTCTCTAGACACCGAAGTCATTGTTGGTCTAGATGTTTCCAAAGCCTTTGATAATGTACAGCACACCGCCATCCTGCAGAATTTACAGGTTTTGGGAGTGGGGAACAGGACGTAAGCGTACGTGAAGGATTTCCTAACCATTCGCCAAGTGCAACTTGACATCGGTGTAAGAGAGCCTTCCACCATCACCCCCGGCAGCCGTGGAACACCCCAAGGCTCCGTGCTATCCCGACTCCTCTTCAATGTTGCACTGTTAGGACTTCCCAAACTTGTGACTGACATCCCAAATCTGCATCACACACTCTATGCAGATGACATCGCCCTGTGGGTTACAAGGGGTAGTGATGGCCAAATCGAAGAAACCCTACAAACAGCAATTAACCACGTGGACAGATCCTCCATTGCGGTAGGCCTGTTCTGCTCGGCGACCTAATCCGAATACATTGTTATCAGATCACAGGGACGCAAACCCAAACAGGTCTCTATCAATCTCCAAGTGCAGGGGATGCAAATTCCCCAAACGAGATCATATCCGCATCTTAGGATTGCCCCTACAGACCAATGGTGGCAACTCTACCACTCTTCAGCGAATCGACCGATCTGCCAACGAAATTAGTCACCTTCTCAAGCGCGTTGCCAACAAGCATGCAGTCATGCGCGAATCCAACCTTCTTCGACTGGTTCAGGCATTCGTCGGCACACGCACCACCTACGTGGCTCCCTACCTCCGCCTTATGTGCACTGATCTCGATCACCTCGATACTTGGCTTCGCAAGGTATACACGACCGCCTTAGAACTCTTGATGTCCACTTCTACCTCCAAACTTATGGCTCTTGGGGTGTCGAACATTGTCAAGACCTTATAAAAGCTACCCTTACGTCCCAGTACCAGCGGCTCTCACTCACGCATGCGGGACGTGCTGTATTGCACCAAATTGAACCCATCCTCACGCGGGCGGCCACCACTTACCAAAATGTACCGACAGATCAACGACTCAGTCTTCGTATTCCTCCGATCCCCAAGCACATTCAGCCTGAACATCATGCGGATCGTAGGGCTGACCGAGCGCGCCAATTACAGAAACGTCTCTGAAATCGTTCCAATGTCTCGTACACAGACGCCTCGCGACACCCACATCGACCAAGAATGGTGGCTTTCGCCCTGGCCCCACATCGTGGGTGGACCACGGCATGGAGTGTAATTCACTCCACCGATATAACAGTTGCCGAAGACTTGCCATTGCTTTGGCAATGACCGACTCAATAACCAAGATGATCGTAAGTGATTCTCAATTCACCATCCGAAATTTTGACGCGGTTCGTATCTCTACACAGGCATACTCAATCATAAAGCATCACACCCCGCCTGTCTCACCTCGTTTTCTTATCTGGGATCCAGCTCATGAATCCCTTAGTGAAAATGCGCAGGCACACACTCTCGCCCGAGATCTCAACTGCCAGGGGGGGGGGGGGGAGTTCCTTACACCTCACATTTCTCATTCTTCACCCTTCCAGGCCTGCGAAGAATTAACTCCTTTGGTTACTTACATAGACATTCAACAGCACTACAGACTAGGCCATCTCCGCGATCCTCCAGCTGATAAAGACCTCCCTCGACCTGATGCCATCCTGTGGCGCAAGCTTCAGACAGGTGTCTTTCCCCACCCCGGGCTTTATATCAAGATATACCCACACCTCGTGACACCAAACTGTAAATACTGCTCACGATCGGCCACCCTCATACACTTGGCATAGATGGGCCCACAGTACGCTGGCGCTTCTCACACAGAAGATACATGGGAGTCCCTTCTGCATATCACTTACTCGGCACAGCAACGCCGGGTAATCTCACGCGCATTGGAGGCCGCGGTGTCCCAAGGGATCCCCTCTGACCTCCTATAAGCAGCGTAACCGACGTCTCGGTCGGTCCCCTCTTTTGGGAGTAATAAAGTTTTGATAATCATCATCATCGAGCCAGAAGCTATGAACCTTCTGAACTTCGACTGCTTTTAGCTTCGGCGTCTCTTGCACCAGCTTTTGGCTGATAGCGACATCGCATTGATGTTCCCGCGGCTATTCCCGCTGACAATCCCGACGGGCAGCTTCTTCTTGCGGAGAACGCACAACCATCGCAGAACACTTGAGAACTAACCTTGGGCTTCTTGATCAGATGCGTTTGCATCCTGGTGGCAAACTAGTGCCCTTATTGCATAGCACATGATCTGTGGGACATTCGCCTTACGTTGACAGCTTCATTTTTAGTCGGATGGTGGCGAGTAGTCATGCTGAGCTAGTGACATGCTGATCTTAGTGACACATATTCCCTAGGATCCTTATACCAGTGCTACACGGACACCTTTATTCGCGGTTAGGGTGATCTCGAATGGTTTTCTTGATCGCGATCAACTTTATGACCACTGATAGACGGCCAAAGCTGATCCGGTTCGAGCTTGGGTCAGATGAAATGCACCAGGTGGTGCTTGCGTGCCATAAAAAATGTCACCAACAACACTCAGCGTACCATATTCAAATAGAGCCCTTTATCATCAATCTTATTCGCGCAAGAACCACTGGAACGTCAAAAACGTTGCGTACCACTACAAAGGTCCTTTCGTAGATGTATCATTCGATAGAGTTTTCGTCTTTTCATCCGACCACGAAGGGCGCGTGCGTTGCGACGAAGTCGAAAAGCTGGCGACACTCATAATAAGTTCACTTCGAGGGGCTTCAACAGCTCTGACGGTGCGATAGTTGAACTAAGCGTGGAAGGCAACGGCCCTGTGCTTGTCGTCTGCTGCTCCTGTAGGTACGTGCGGTCGATACGAATGTTACCATACGCTATATTTAAGATATTCGTCCAGTTGAAACAGTTTAAAATCTGATTTTTAATGAGATATAGCTGATTTATAGCGTTTTTATTGAACTTTGCTCGATTTCCTTGTTTATTGTGCTTCCAACAAGCTCAGCCAGGGGGTGCCGACGACAGCTAAATCGCAATCTCTCAGCCGGATAACGATGCGCGGATCGCGATAGCCTTGATCCCGATCACGCCTGATCATGATTAAAAGTGACCGTGAAGCAGCACCTAATCTGGATCACGGTTAATCCAGATCAACACTGATCTTGAATAAAGGTGCCCATGTGACAATGCTAGTATACTTGGTGGGCTGGACGTGAGTGGTGGCATCTGTCCGATTTCTGTGCACCTATCTGCTAGCAGCGGTGGGCGGCGTTACAGCGAAAGTATCCTGGTACTATCTAACCGGGATAATCAAGACCATAAACAGCTTCGTCTATTACAATTGAAGCTTTACGTATCAAATTCGTGATGTCATTAGCATGCAGAATTTATAAATTTACCCTTGCTCGCGAAGCTGAAGTGTCCTTCAAGTTTTTCCTTCCTGCTGCCATTTCGCTGTGTTTCGGGTTTTTCATTTAAGTTTTCATAAATTCTGTGCCCTTCTTGCCTCCTGATGAAGAAACAACTACTTCGACATACGCTAAGTCAACTAGTCGTAAACGTAGTTTAATACGGCACATGGTTTTTTTATAAAGAATCATTGTATGTGCATACCTAATTTCTTATGCCGTAGAAGTACCACATTACGCAGTGCAAGACTGAGTAACAAATCAATCAATCGATAATTAAATAATCAATCAATCAATCAATAAATAGCAACACGACTGCTTATATCTGTTGTAGTCGCGCAGGCATACCGGGATGTCAGTTAGGCTTTTAACAACATGACTTTATGAATCTCGTTGATACGAAATCATCCATCAATCACTCGCACTCTGCAACGGTGGGTGTTCTTTGCAACTGTGACTACTTGAACTTCGTAGGTGAATTTCCTCACCACCATCTATCACCCCAACATCAGCACCACCGACGGTGAGGTCCACATGGACCTGCTCAAGTGGAAATGGTCGCCGTCGCTGTCCGTTGGAAAAGTGCTGGCCTCCATTCACTCGCTGATGTGCAACCCGAACCTGGACACGACTGTCGAATACGGCATTGCCGCCGAGTACAAGAACAATCGCGAACACTTCATATGGAACGCCAAGCTCTCGACGATGGCGTTCGCGAAGGAGTGAGCCTACTTTATCGAAATCGTCCCTCAAGCACAGTAACTCGCCCACCAAGAACCACGGGTGTCTCGAAGAAAAAGCAAAGGACAGGAAAAAGCACGTAGGGTGGCCTACACTGTTCAGCTCAGAGAACTAAAATAACACAACTGGAAGGTTTTCTGAGGAAGAACTACGCAGTAAAAATGCCACTGTCGCCGTTCGGGCGTAGACTCCTCGTAAAATTCGATTGGTTATAAAGCAGGTTGCTTGGGTGCTGGAACGTGAGCCACCTTTTCCTCTGTAATACCAACCAGCCTTGCACTCCTTTACATAGAAGCCTATCTATTCACTTAGCGAGAGCTTGCAGGCCTGAAACAACTTTCGTGTAAACAAAAGTCTCAAGATATACATATACGCCTACATTAATCTATAGATGATCTACGCATTCGTCTTACGGTGTGTTGACAAAAAAAAAAAAACGTGGCTGATCGCCCTATTTAGAAATCAGTATAGCACGAAAGGGAGACGTGTCTTCACAGAAGTAGTCCAGCGTTTATTGTGCACTGTTTCAGCAACAGCAACAAATTGCTAAGTCAAGTGGACAACGACAAGCATCTCGAAACTTGTGGTGCACACCTCGCGCAGAAAAAAACGCGCTAAACGAGCGCACAAGTACACACACGACGAGTGCTAACAACTGCCACAATTTTCACTTCGTCGTGGGGCAGCAGTGTACTCTTTTCGTAAACGCTGCCGCGGCAGCGAGATAAGCGACCTTTGTCCTTTCCCGAATTGTGACTCTGACAAACACGCGCGCAGGAGAGACCACGCTCCGTGGAGGCGGCGCTTCGTCGAAGCGACGACCTTTAGAGTGTGCCTAACGCGAGCCCGTCATGCCATTTCGCAACTGATCACAAAAGCGCGCTGAAGTTTTGGAGCTCCGAGGACCGCTAAAAGCTTTATGGTAGATGCAAATGGCTTGCCGTTAGCACCTCCAGCAGCGTTTCATTAATTAAAAGTACTATGAACTTTAGCAAACCCCTGCATATCCCACAGTGTGTGAGCCAAAGTTGGAGGTGAATAAGAACAAAATTGAGACCGTGGAAAAAGGTTGTTTTCCACTATGCCCACGCGGCGACATCCCGATAACACCGCTCGTGCTCACAAACTTACGAGGGAAATGCGTATTTCGCGAGAAAAAAAGCCCGAGGCTTTGTGAGAGGCAGCCAACTTTTAGGGGTGTCTCGCGCTGTTTAAATGTCCCGCGTACTTTAACGCGAGAAAGTTCAAGAACTCGTTTCCCGTAAATTCAGGCGTCGATGTCGGTGCTGGTGTTGTTGGTTATGAGTGATAAAAACATCTTGTATGTGAGCATAAGATTTACAAAGATGGAATAAAATAAGTAATAAAGATTTTCAGCTCGTGCTGAAAATCGAACGCAGGCCGTCAGTGTGGTAACCAAGGGTTCTGCCGCAGAGACACGTCATTCCTTTCATTAACAAAAAAAAACGGCATATGAATGTCATGCAGGGAGGGGGCTCTCCCTAACGCGATATGTATTGTGTGACATAATCCTAGAATATCACCAGGCGTCAAAACCAGGCGTCAAAACGTACAAATTGCGCAACGAGTGGGCAGTTTTTAGCTGCATATTCACTGCCAAGTATGGCAGCTTATGCAAGTATGGCAGCTTACGAGCCAATATGGGGTAGTTCATCCATTAGGGGAAAAAGAAGCTATGGCGTCATGGGCACTTAGCAACTCTACATCCGGTAGAGGTTGGAAACGGCTAATGTTACGCGCACAAACGTTTCTTGCCTTGAGGAATGGTAAGACAGTGCGAAGTGGAATGGTAAAACAGTGCTACTGGAGGCGAAGCTCGATCGTCTTCCAAGTGCGATGTAGCAACAAATTTTCCTGCGCATTAGCGTTTCAGCATTGTCACATCATATCCAAGAATCGTTCGAAATAAAGGATGATTTGATATATCTGAGTCCAATGTAGTTTGAAATGGCTGTATGCTTAAGTGGACACTCGTCAAAATAATAACGCCTGCAAGAATGGTACATCTTGGTTTCTAGAAAAAAATACATCGTGAAGCATGCGAATGGTACACTAGGTTAACCCAATGCTTTGTCTCCTAATCAGAAATGAGTAAACGTAATAAAGCTAATTGTTTCTTAAGTGGTGGGCTCTGCGGAATCACTCGCTAGAAAATCTGTCAATGGTGAAGTCGATGAAAATGGTTGAGCTAGATTTTCTGCTGTCCAATTTTTTATTAATGTGATACACCGTGAAGACCGGAAAGTGATCCGCCCCGATATTTCCTCTGGTTCGGTTGCGTAAATTTCATGTGATAATTCCCATTAATTCGCTTTTCCGCGGATTTCCGCTCACTTGTTCCACCCTTTATAAAACCAGCCAAGAGCTCTCACAAATACAGAGTCATAAGCGAGAAAGTCGCATTAAGGCAGAGCAATTACTGAGCAGCTCACACTGATAGATTTTGTGGACACAGGTAAGTGTGCATTTTGCATTAGTTTTCTGCCAAATTATTTGCCAAAAGCAGTCGTGTTTTTTTTGACCAGCGAATCTCTGCATGCTATTTTTTTTATTCCAACGTAAGAGGGCGATTGAGCAGGTTTGCAGAAATTTCAGTGTTGGCGTCGTTGGTTGTGGCCGACATAATCGGCGTTTTGGGTAAGCTAGATAGGTTAAAATATTCACAATAAAATCTTAGTTTTGTTCGCTTCTGCCACGCAATCTTACGTTATGTCCTTCCTGGAGATCCCACACACTTCATGAAGTTCGAATAATTGGAAACAATTTAAGGCAGGCATCTGCAATTGTGACGGCAATCTTCGGTTTTAGCGGAAACAAAATAGAGGTCTACTGCATGGCAGTATGCCTGCTTTCCATTCAGAAGACCTCTATTCCGTTTCCGCTCAAACCGAAGATTCCCACCACAGCCGCAGATGCACGCTTTAAACTGTTTCGAATTCCTCGAACTTAATGACGAAATTCATGTGGTGTGAGGGATTTCCAGGAGGCACATAAGATTGCGTGGCATAAGCGAACAGCCCCACTAGGGGTGAAAACACGATCGCGCGACAGGTGGGCGGTTCACATACTCACCCAATAAAGAGTGCTCAGTCGTAAACAGGAATCATCAACAGCGCAGGCATCAACAAAGTGTGTCAGCACTGGGGTGCATGTTGTCTTAGAGGCGCATAGTGCTTACTTGAGCCACTCGCAGAACGAATCATTGTGGTGTAGCGGGCCCATTACTACTGTTGATGCAATTTTGCAGTCTAAAATGGCATTCTACCCTGTAACGGTTAATGTAAAGCGCACACGAATTCCTGTCCTTGGTGCACAATCTAATTGTCGACGCAGACGTGATACAAGGCTGTAAATTGGGAAGTCGGTGCTAACAGAGTGCGATTACTCTGTCACGTTTTACTCATGAAGTCTGGTTGGTTGGATGGTTGTTTTTTCTAGCGCAAAACACTACGGGGGATCAGCCATGTAACGACTGGCACCTTATTTTAAAGATAAAATTGTTTTATGAGCCGAATACGTTCAAAATTGGTGGTTTACAAATGAACACACCGGTAAAACGAAGAATAACGTGCAATAAAAATAATAAAGAAAACCCAACAAACTAATATGATTGAATATGAAGTAATTTCAGACATAGGCTTAATATTCCATTAGTTTTTTTTTTTTGCTTAACCGCATATGGCTTCGCTAAACGTCCTGCGGCTAAATACATTTTCAGTTGCCCTAAAGAAAACAACAACAATGGGACAGTCCTCTTCTACTTCTTCTACTGCTTTGCGACAAGCATTACTACTGGCGGTCTATAAACGAGGAAAAATCACATAAGCTGATTCCAAAGTATTGCATAGCAAATTTAGGCCAAGTGAAGGCGTTCAATCAAAAATTGTGTATTTTAAAGTCATGTATTGTAATTCCCAAATTTCAAATGATTATCTTTAGGGAACAAGACCTATAGAAGACCATATAACTAAAATTTAATAGTTCTTTACGTTTTGTTACGGACTGCAGAGTGTTTGAGCCGTTGTGTATTTTCCGCTTAGAGGATTCCAGTTTCATCTCAGTGGTATTGATCACCATCACGGATTATATGAAAGGTTGGATGGTGTTTAGATGTGGGCCATGTATTATTTCTCTCAATAATCCTCATACATCACCGTCGTTCACATGACATATGCAGATAGTTCTCGATAAAGCTTACAGGCTTTGAAATAGCACGCTTGTCATCCGGTACAAGCGCTATCTCGGTAACACATACAAACTAGTGTCATTTGTCAGCCAACGTTGCGTTGAATCTGCGTTGTTTCTCGTGATTGCTTTCTTTTTATTTTGTGAAGTAATCGTAAGCTCTAGCCGTAAAATATACGGAACCAAGTCATCTGTTTCCTGGAGCGCCCATCTAGCGCACGGATAACGTTTTGATGTATTCACGCGTACAGGTACTTACAGGTATGTCACCTGTGCACGACAACATGCGTTGAAGCGGTGGTTGGCGCAGCTGATGGTAGTCGCACAAGCGAAATCTTCACTTCGAAAAACTGCTGCATGCCATCGCAGCTCTGCTTCACGACAATGACTCACCAGCTGTGCCATATCAAATTTCCTGGGCTGACTCAGACAGAGGAATTTTCGAGCTGTGCAAACCACAGCACTGATGCAAGCATGCTGGCATGTTGGGCGCATGATGCGTTAGTGAAATGTGTGCAGAAGTAGACGTCACATCTATTCAACACTCCACCCTTTATAAAAGCAGCCAAGAGCTCTCATAAAGACAGAGCCATTCGTGAGCAAGTCGCATTGATAGCTTTCCTGTAGACTGGTAAGAGTGCATGTTCCATTCGTTTTCTTTTGCTAAATTATGCTGCTAAAGCAGTCACGTCTCTTCTTAGTACCGGGCTGGTGATTTCTACGATAGCACTAAACACGCTACGCGGGCTATCAGAGCCAGAATTCTCCAGAAATGTTAGTGAACGATCTGAAAAGCACTAAAGCGTATGCAGTCTCTATCGCTATAAATAATTAATGGTTGACAGCCTTCATACAAAGCGGGGTACAATCAAGTAGGTCTTCCTATTGACATTTTGTAGTATAATGCGTTAGACATTTAAATAGACACTCAAGAGAAACATAAATTTTGAAAGCGCTAAAGGCACATGCGTGATACGAGGGAAGGACACAGGCCAAGCTCTTGTCCTGTGTCCTTCGCTCGTCTTACGTATACATGCCTTTAGCGCTTACAAAAGTTATGAATCGGTACCAACTAGCCCCCAACCCAGTGCCTTCTAAAGTAAAACAATCTCTCGATTTCGGTTTGCAAACTCCGTTGTGAGTATAGTAATGACATACATTTCACTATTATAAGTTCATTATTAGCGGGGAAAGTCAAGGTTGAAGTTCATTTTTCAAATTTTCTGACAAAATCTCCGCACGTGACATGGTAAATCTAAGATGTGTTTTTCACATTTTCGCCACATTGGCTTGATGGAACTTTCCGAAACTTCGTATGCTAGGCTTATGGCACCCACAAATGACAATTCATTTCAATTTCATTGATTAGAAGCTACGTAGAATACAGTAGACGCCTTCAAATCTGTAATGCCGTGGTGTTTGGTGCGAAAATCCCGAGGTGGCGTTGCAACCCATATTTTCTTACTGCACGTTTCCTCGCTTACCAAGGGTTATGTCTTGGTAAGAGTGGTGTTTTTGGGATTGGGATATTGTAGTTTACTAATACCCCAAAAATCTTTTAGCTCTTTAGTGTCCCTTAAGTTCTGAAATCCACTTATAGCCATGGCTAAGAGATATATGCGATGTAATTGACATCATGTTTTAATAAAGCGACGCACGTCTTGCACTCTGAAAAAACTAAGGACCCCGCGAGTCCATTTTCAGAGTCCTGATTTTTTTTTTATTTTTTTTTTTATTTGAAACAAAACCCGCAGCGCCACTTAGGCATTATTGCGGGGGGCACAGAGCCTCATAAAATGAATCCGCAGTCTTGCGGCCAACTACATCGGCTGGTAACGTGTTCCATTCAACAATGGATTGCGGAAAAAAAGAATGCTTAAAAAGATCCGTTCTGGGGTTGTATGGCCGTACTTTAAATTTGTGATCATGACGGGAGGATTGATAATACGCTTTTTTTAAATAATCTGAAGCATTAAGATGAAGATTTCCCAAATATGTGGTTCTCTTTCAAGAGACGCACAATCTTCCCTTTGAGCCCCGTTGCACACCGACGAGGGTATGATGATCTTCGCAAAGCTCACAATTAAAAGCAAGCCGCTCATTTTTTTTCTCGGAGTGTGAGCGACCGACTTCATTCAGTGCATGAGCTACTTGAAAAAATTGCACCAACAGCCTGTTTGCATCTAAAGAGATGTGTGTTTCTGTGCGCAGATCCTTAGAAGTACCACATTGTTGTCGAAAAATGCGGACCCTGGTTGTGGCTGCCATCACGCTTGGTAAGATCATCTGACCCGGTGGATTGGTTCTCCTTTACGAGAGTAACACTTCTCCAAATCTGGAGCACCAGAAAGTCACAACTATAGATACTGCCTTTTTTTTTCGGCCATTTATGAGAGTAACACTTCTCTGCATCTGAAGTACCTGAAGGCCGCTTGTTTTGTAACGTTCGAAATGTTAAAGGTAACAGCGTTCGTTCCGTGTGTTTCCTGTCTCTAGGCGTGTTTCTTTCGCTTTGTTTACCGTTGACTGTAAACAGTCAATTAGCCAAGTCAGCTACTTTATCGTGCTGATACATGCTCAATGCATGTCTAATATTACGTCGTCGAATTTGAAATGGTGCTTCGCAAATATCGCGCGCTGATATGTATATCACACATATACTTCATTGCCTATATATTGCGTATTTCAATATTGTATTTGCAGCCATGTTGACCATAGCATCGGGACGCAGCAAGCCTGCATTTGATAGCAGCGAGGCAGAAGTCAGCAGGGAAGACGGCCAGACGAGCTTGAGTACACTTTGGGCGAGTGTGCAACCCAGTTTCGATGCTTTTTGGAAAAAAATTCTTGAGCTCTTGTTTAAAGCAGTCGGTTTATTTATGTAACGAATTGCCGGCGCAGCGGGTTTCGGCATATGGGCTTCTGAATTTACTGTTGTGCCCCAATTCAAACTTATTCAGCCTCCAATAAAAAAAAAAACGCCATTTTATTGAGCTGCTCACCATAATATTTGTATGACTCTTGGTGATTTGACACTGATGCTAATTTGTGGTTTGTAAGGCCGGCTTAGCGAGACCATCTTGAACAATGAGCACTTCGAAAGCATTGTAATATTTTTACGATGTTTGAATGAGAGATGCCACCCCATCCATGCTACAGCCGAAACCTTGCCTTACACTGAATGACCTGCCTTCTTACGGTATGAATTTCTGACCACAAATCTCTTATGAGCTTTTTTGCAACGAATAAAGTAAATTGTACCTAGTCTGTGCTGCGTGCCTGAGTGAAAAGCGGATCAAGCGGGATCATCGCCGGCTCTGCTTCCGCCGGCGTTTCTAAGATGTGCGACTCCTCGGGCGTTGCCATCACACGAGTGCGCAAGGGGAGGGGGGGGGGGGCGGGGAGCGGCCGTCTTCACTCGTCACTTAAGAGGGGAAGGGGGCGCAAAGTGAGCCCTACCATAGAGTTTCTTCAAATCAACTAGAAGGGACTCTGGCGTTGCGATCGTTCACTGAGTATGGGAACGATGGGTTGTACACGGATTTATAGTCTTCGTACTTGCGGGCCTCGAACGCACTAGTGGCTTCGCTAATTGCGGTGTTTTGGTTTTGTTTCGAATGGAAAAACGACCCGTTTTGAGTTTTGTGAGTAGATTTGAAATGTCGAACCGAAAGGTTGAAGCGGTGTTGAAGTGCACCAGCTGAATATTTGCTGATTGTAGTTTCATGACAGAGCAACTTCAAGTCACACGTAGTCAACGTAAGTTCAAAGTGCGAAAATTAGACAAATTCACGCACTACCCATAATTCTCACGCTCGCTGTGGCGCTGTGTATTGCAGCTCCCACAGACAGTTGTGCCAGATGTATTTATAGAGTATTTAAAGGAAACTATGTGAGCCCCGCTACGTCGGCATGATAGAGAGGGGGGGGGGGGGGGCACTGCCGTGAACTTTCACCAGTGAGTCGGAACGGAACGAGAACGTAACCGAAACGTTATCAACTACTTCTATCCGGAGTGAAAACGAATTTCCTCAATCGTTTTTCGGTTCACGGAAAGGCTTGGCTATTCGGAATTACCGAGGACACGAAACGTGAGCAATAATGCATACCCCGAAATGCAGTAATAGCGCGTCTTTCCGACAGGAATTTGTAAGTAAACATGTGGTGAACTTGCTTGAAAGACGAAAACGGTGGTGACCAGGGTTGTTAATACTAAGGGTAATAGACTTTGGTGTGTGCTGGCCAGCGTGAAGAGGGCATTCTCGGCGCTGCTTTGTTTTATGAGAAAAGTGGTCTCGCACATAAGAGAAACAATGGATGATGTACTGCTTCTGAGATAACGCTCACTCTCTTGATACAAAGCAATGGGCCTCCGAGCGAAAATTTGTGGCTGAAGTTTCATAAAACAAATACTATGACTAAATTTGCTAAGCAATCGCTGTACAGTTACTTCCACTCCTCTGAAGAACGTGTTTTGCCCCAGTCTCACTTTTTAAAGATAAGCTCTATCCCTAGTTTACCTTCAAATCTTACATACCAATAAAATTCATTACGTATCGTTTAGGACGTTTTTTTCATTTCTGTGCAGAAACTAAATACAACCTTTTTTTCCAGATAAACTAAATACAACCTTTTTTTCCTGATAAAGCGAAACTAAATCGGAAATGAGAAAATTTTTGTTCCCACACCCTGAACCCCCCCCCCCCCCCCTTTCGGTTGGGAACGCGGCACACGCCTGTAGCGGTCATCATGCGCGGGAAACCTTTACATGCCACGAATAACTACGACGATGCAGCACCTAGACTCTATGTGGCGAAAAAGGACGTGGCGATACGCGCTCCACTCTCGTGGTAGCTTTCTGCACGCCGCGTGAGTTTGCAGTGCCATCGGTATTGATTCAAAGTAATCCAATCAACAGTGTTAATTAATATTGTCATGAAAGGCCGTGTGGCATGACGCTGACGTGATACGTTTTGGTAATAGGTGAAGTTTTGGTAAGAAACTACGCTTGCCCCGTGGTTTCGGCGAACGCGTGAGTAAGAAAAAAACGGCAGGCGTTACACTCTCGCAACAAAAGAAGAATGCCTGGCTGCACTCGCGCAAGACTAATGAACAGCAACGATGGAGTACAGTCACGAGCATTGTTAGAGGGAACACGGAGCGGGTGACCGCACTCCGCGGAGCACCACGACGGGCGCCTTGCGAACCATTGTGGCACAAGTAGAATTTTGAAAAGTGAATTCGAGCGCGAAAACTTGACACGATAACACACACGCACACACCTATGCATCACACAGTGCCACAGGCGGAGGTAGCTGCGCGTAGGCTGCTACGGTGCTTACCACTTCGCCTCGAGCGTCGAAACCCAGATAGCGTGTGCAAAGTGGGAGACACCGTAGCAGACTACGCACAGCAAACCCCACCTCTGGCGCTGGTTGCGCTTGCACCGCAATGCTACGTGCGGCGCTCGCTTGGTGGCCCGACGAGAGCGACCACGTGGGCCGCGTTCCCTCTAGCAGTGGCCACGACTCTAGTTATGCTTTGCGTTTAAACGACCACTTGAATGCACCATCCAATCACTTACATTGTCATTCTCTTTATCTTGAAACATGTGCAGATTTTAGGGAAAAAGCAAGTACGGTAATATGGTGCATTAAACGCCGCTACGCAGCTGCGCTCGTTTGGGTGGTGTCGCCCATAAAAGAAATTATGACGAACGGACAAGCCTCGGGTACAGAGTGGAAAGCATTACACCACTGCTTGTGTCATCCTCACACTGCAACACTTCTGCCACGCAAAATTGCATTTGACGTCACAGACATTCTAATTGGAGCCTGTATAGGCTCCTTTTAACAATGAAGCTGTTTAGAACAGCCGTGAAAAAGTTGGTGAGCACCAATGTGAGCAAATGATGATGATTTGTGGGGTGTTACAGTGCAAGAGCCACAGTTGGCCGAAGAGCGCCAGTTCAATAATTTGTTTCGGGAGCAGTAGGTTGAGTACATGCTAAAAACGTCATCAGCTTGAAAACGTAACAAGGGGCAAAGTTTATGGCTTAACTTTGTTCCTACAGCACTCCGAGTTCCTCTCTCTGTGCAGCAAGGGAAACAGCAATACGTTGGCATTGTGATTATCAGCAAATACGCGCTTCATGTCGATACGCCTTAAGCATACGTAAGCGCACGTGGACTGTACGTACTGCGCCGAGCTCGAACCTCTGACATGGCGGTATGCATACGATGGCCGACAAATGGCTGCGGTTTTGCATAAGGTTTATATGCAGCACTGTTAGTGGCTCAGCGCATCTTTCATAGATAGGTGGGGGCCCATTGGACAAAAAGTGTGCGTGTGTGCTGTGTGTGTCCTACTTGAAGTCTTCAAAATGTCACATCTCTTTCACGTGCTTTTGATATGGGTTGCCAACTTCGGAATGGTGGCTTCACCAAGTAGAATTTATTTCGGGTTTCATAGTCCCACGAACGCTGCCAAGAGGCCCTGAGCTTTCGTTTTAGAAAAGCTTTTATATCAAGGGCCGGGACAGCTATAACTTTATTGAAGATGTTGTGGGCGGGTACAGCAAGCTGGTACGCCACATGTTTTCATCGATCTTGTGGTGCCCTGTATATCACATTGTACAACATGATGTTTGAGAGCATGCACATAGGAGTGAACAAAGTGAGACGAGGACTGTAGTTTTGTTAGTTATTTTAGAGTTCTTGTGGCTTTTTCGAACACTTAGGAAATCTATGTATATAACTGCGCTTTGTAGCTTTCACTACTTGATGTGTTTAATGGCCACTAGTATTGCGTAAGCCTCGGCTGAGAAGATAGTTGTATCAGAGAGCAGAACACCGGCGCTTGAAAAGAACGGGCCGACTGCTGCGTATAGGACACACATTTGTAAGACTTCAAAGCATCTTCGGAAAATTCTGGGTAAGTGTATGTGTGTGTGGAAGTTCGAGGATGTGCGTGTAGATATATGCAGTAGATGCGTGTCTAGTAACGTTCACGAAAGATAAATCGCAGTCCATCACCTATCACTGCCATGACGGCGGATATGCTGCGCGAGCCATCAAAGGGTGTTCTGTGGAGCACCTGTTTTCTGAGCGAGTCCCCTAACATGCAGTGAGTGAGGCTGTCTTAGTGAAGCAAGGTTGTGGAACAAGGCAGAATTGGACAATTTATTGATAGTGGAATGACAGGGATGTTCTTCGTGAACGTTCATCTTGATATATTATACACAACACATGTAACATCTCTGCAGGTGAAGAAATCCCCTCATTAGATTCTACATAGAGAAATTTTACGGGACTAATGCGATAAGCACCCGTAGATAAGAAAAATGCCTAGATGGTGAATAATGTCAAGCACCTTTAAGGCGCTTGGTGTTGCACACTAATAGGTTATTTACCCATTGACAAGGCGAGGGCGTACGAGGCTTTTATACAAGTTCATCAGGCACTCCTTGTCACTACTCCACGTGGTGCACGAGTAGACGTTTACAATATTTTATGCTTTTACGCACTTGTTTTTGAAATAATTTGTGTGTGGTATGAAGGTTAGCTTGGTGCCCAAAATTAGGCCTAAGAATTTATGTTCAGCGTTGGTAGACAGGTGTTCACCATGTAGTACATTTAGACTCAGAACAAATTCCTCTCTTCCGGAAGAATAGGACACGAATCTCACCAACCTAGATGCCCTCAAGAACCGCTGATGCAAGATCGACTGAGGATCATTAAGTGATTAACATACTGCGAAACCTTATGAGCGCAATGCGCATGCTCCTAAGCAACATGAAGACCCTGTGGGTGCAGAGCGCGCTGCAGGTGCTGAACACTTTGAGTCTGGTGCTCGCAGTTCTAAGGTAAATTTCTTTCAGTGGAACGCCAGAGAGCTCAGACCACGCATGTTCGACTTCCGGCAATGTGTATTAATCAATCAGTTCTCCATAACTGTTATTTGAGAGC